GGAAATGCTAGTGGTAATCGAATAAAACTTTGATGAAATGGTACATTATGCTTTAAGTAACTAAAATCAGGTAGTACAGGTAACTGTGCGAATATTTTGGCTTTTTTTTCTGAAGCTATATTTTTTTCTTTTTACTTCCGCGTCCTTTTCCCCTTTCTCTAACCTTTTCTTTATTAATTTGGTTTTCATTGTCTAGAATAATTGCATTGGTTTTATTAGTTAATTCCACAATCTCAGCATCACTATCAAAGTCGTCATCTTCAAAAATCTCATCTGGTGTTCGTGAAAAGAATAAAACTTCATAAGGATCTAACAAATCTGCAGATAATTCTTCGTTGTTTTGCATTGTAATAAACTAGAGAATAAATATTCATTCAAAGTGGACCTGATTCAGAAATCGCTTTTAAAAAATTTAAAACAAACCCTTTCGTAAAACAATAGCGTGAGAATAATAATATTTAAAAAAAAGGTCACTAAACTTAATTTGAATAATTTATAATTATTTTTCAGGTTCGATCAACATAACGTGTGGCGCAGTAATGCGTGATAAGTATAATTTCGAATTAGTGTTAATCACCAGCAACGTAATTTATACAATTGATATTTTACTATAATGTTAATGAAGTCTAACCAAATCAGATAAAATATCTTTTAGGGGGACCTCTCTTATCTCATTTTTTAATAATTACATTAAAATTAGATTTTGCAGGCAAATTTGCCTGCATGACGTATTAAGAGATAAGTAAGTTACGAGCTCAAACCCAGTTTTAAAGATAAATTAGTATCCAACAGATAATGAACTCAAGTTCTAAACAATCCCAATAAGAGAACACCGCTTACCTAACTTCATTTTCTGAACTAAAATTCTGATCACAATCTTCAAATAACATTTCATTTTCTGAACTGAAAGTTGCTTTATCAAGTAAGCTGACTGTATAATTTTCAAAGCTAGAGTTTAAATATAGTAGAACATTTATTTTTTATAAGTTTTATTTTTTTGATAGGCGGGTATAAGAGGTAAATTCTTAATTATCAGGGGCCCGAAAGGCACCAGATGATTAAAGTGTATTATTCTTTACTTAATATGATTCTATGACAGGGTTTTTCAACCTAAATGACCTTTTAATCACATTAGTTTAAAAAGAATCTAAAATTTTGACCATAATAATATGATATTATCGCTAGCTAAGAGAATTATAACTTTACCGTGTTCTATCACATGACAAGGGAATTTTAAGTTCTTCGTTTAAATAATACTTCGAAATAAAACTATCGTACAATCTAAAAATTCCTTTTGAATTTAGCACATATAAAAATTTAAAATGCACTGAAAATAAAAACAAGAATTATTGGGGAATAACAAGCACTGCCGGTGAAATAAAGGTAAAATATAACTTTTTTTTACTAATTATAATGATTATAAGTAGAGATGTGCCGCGTACAGTATTTCTACTAGCTAATCAAATCGATAGATACACATTATACGTACTATACGTACTGTACGTGAAAAAATTCGGGGTACCATATAAATGGCACATCTCTAATTATAAGTCAAAAAACCCCTTCATGCAATCATAGAGAAGCGTGGAATAAATTAAAGATCAACATACTGCAACGAAATTTTGATGAACGTAGTGTTCAATAAAACCAACATCGATAATTAATAACTTTGAGAGCTTTGGTTTTGCGTGACCTCAGAGTTTATTTCTATAGCTGGATTGCTTGAAAATCTTCTTTCTAAATCTGAAACTACATCAATTTCTAGAGAACTACT